TCTCCAGGATGCGGATCTCGACTTTCCCCAGGGGGGAGAGGTACTCGTCCATCATGTGTACGAAGACACCAGAGTCCAACACGTGTAAGATGTCAGCCAGACATGCAAGGTACACGTTCCCCCAGGTGGTGTCCCCAAAGTTCCACCGCACCATCACGCACTGCGCCCAAAAGGAAACATGTCTCGAACACATATGTTGCGGCTCGTCATAACTCAAATGAATGTTTCCACGACACAATGGCAAGCTGCAGCTTACCTCTATTGGATGGGTTAACCACTGTGAATGGAATTTACGGGCGTCCTCCTTTTTGGCAAACGCAAAAAACTGCCGCACTATATCCTTCTGCCTCTCCGGTGTGCGGGGATCCTTTTTGGCTGTCAGCCGTGTCAGGTCTCCAACTTCGGCATAGCAGTTAGCGCACGGGCGATGTGTGCCCGTCTGCAGCGTTGCTGAAGCCCTACTGTTCTCAGGATAGTCTCCAGGGTATCCATAGAGGCAAGGTACCGCCTTGACCACTTTGCCCGCAGCGTCTGTCACATAAAAGTACCTCACGGGAGCACTGGATACAGAAAGGAGTTTCCAAAGTTGACGGTCCTCGAATACATCACTTGCAACGATTATGCACACTGACGCCAAACATACCTTGCGGTTTCCCGCATCAAGGGTCCAAGTATGATCTTCAGCGCCTCCTGAAAAATCCGGGCCTTCTCTGTCAGGCTAGCCCATTCCGGGCAGAAGGGCAGCACCGCAGCAAGAGTGTGGCCCGGCTCAAACCACCTCAGTTCCTCAGGTATGTTAATGAGCGAAATCAGGACAGGCCACGCATTCCTCCGCCCATTACGCGACGCCTGCGTGCTGTCGATGTACACGATGACCCCGAGAATCAGAGCCTTGTCGTCCTTGATCTCTTTCTGCCACACACACAAACCGGAGTGGGACATTAAGGAGCACGCCCTCCATCGGACACGACTGTTGCAGCATGGCAACGTACCTGCGCCTCGTGCATCCAAGTGCCTGTTTCCGGCCCCTCGAAAACGTGCTTCCCCTGCTCGTTGTACTTCTCCTCTGGCTTCCACACGAAACCCTTCCTCCGCGAAAAGATGCGGACAAGCTTCTTCACAAGCTGCGCACCAGAAAAGGCCCATGACTATCAACGGTCAAAGAAATCTAGATAGACACGTTTCATGCCCTCGGTTAACGCTTTAGCGGAATGTATGCAGTACGCATTTGACGGCAAGCTCACCAACTCTGTGTCACGGAAGTGCAAGAGAAGCTTTTGAGACATTCCTATGGGCCCGTGCACGACGATATGCTCCGTTTTCCATGGAACCATATTTGGCGGCGCACGCTCTTTCCCCCATCGCTTCACGTCAGCGTTGTTGCGCCACCTACGTAATTCCTTCAAACTGAACTGTGGGTTACGGAATATGTTAAGAAGTCTGTTGACTTCTCGGCGTGATAAGTCTGTGTCCCGGAAAAAAAGGTACAGCTCCGTGAGGGTGTCGAAGAAGTCGGAGACGTCGCTAGCCTCCGAACAAGAAGAGTCGCCATCGTCGCCATCATCCCCTTCATGTTCTGCCTGCGACGCCTGCGGCGGAGAGACATCTGGCAGCTCGGCTGTAGGTACCCCACGGGTTTCGGCCCCAGAAGTCGCAGGGCTGCGGTGTCGTTTGTGCCCAACACTGTTTTGCGCTTCTAGGTAAGCATCAAACATAAGATGCTCGACATTTCTCTTCAACGTGTCCCCGCATTTAGTTCTATCTGAAAGATGAGACTGTAAATCACGGCCACTGGGAAAATCCTTATTGCATACGCCGCACTTGTTTCCCGTCATCTCGCTCTAACTACGAACCCTAATCCGACCTCCAACAAACGGTTAGGTAGGCTGTTTTCATAACCTCATCGAGCGTGAGTGTCAACCTTTGAAGAGTGTGTGTTTCGATTGCACAAATAGGACCACTAGTAAGGACTACACCCTGATATTCTAATGATACAATACCAGCAACAATAAGAAAAACGAACGCCACGACCGTTGAATCACACCAACGCTGCATTCATAACGCATGCATATCCAAATGGATGTTCTCTCATACAGTCGCTTGTAAACATAAACAACCACCTTCAACCCACTATTAGTACCGTTCACAAAGAGGCATCTGCTGTCAGCATTACTAGGAGAAACGCACCTGTACATGCCGTGTATATGTGCTCGTACTCGGTAGAGTACGCGTGAACAAATGCTTTCCCATGCGGCATAGTTTGGTTACTGCTAAGGGCGGGTCCAACTTTGCACACTCCCAATGTTGTCGTTATTTTTACGTCAACACACATGTCAAATTTGACTGCACCCCAGGGCGTAGTACTAAGGTTTCCTGTCCAGTTCGATGTGTACAGTGCGGATTTTTGACGAGGTACATGATCGTTGCGAGGCACATCACCTGGAAAGAGCGTTACCAACTGTTGCGAGGGTTTCCGCATCTAATGCACAAGGGATAATATCATGGCGAAATGGTGTTGGCGAAAAAGGGGCGTTACTGTTTGACGACTTTGACGGGAAGAAATTTGTGAGACGAACCTTCGGATGTGTTACACACGTCCCGGTGCACGTTTCCAAAATGAGCTCATTTATGTACAGTCTCGAGTCAAACTGATTTCGTACGTAAAAAGTTCTAACACATGCTTACTTCTGGTAACCGACCTGAAAATTTTCCGTACATGTACAATGCTTGACCCGCCCTAAACTTGCCAATTGGCCCATCGTTTACACCTAGGCCCAAGTTGTATCTAGGCAATCCGTGTTCGGACGTGCCTCCTTCATAGCTTAGGTGCCGAACCGAATGTATGCGATTGTACAACGATGTTACATTTTCGGTCTGCACAGTCAGAAACAAAGGAGGATGCCAGCTCAACAGAATAGCATACGAAATAGAGCTGAACATGATTTCGAATTTAGTATGCATGATCTAACAACCCTCGTACACTCACCCCTGTTATTTGCAGCCTCCCTGCATGTCAAGTTGGTTACCGTACACTGATATGCACCCATCCAGCTATTCTTGAGAATTCTGTGGCGCACAGGTGTCATCATCTCGGTGAAATGTCACATGATGCGCGAACATCGTGTAACCCAACTGTAGATCTGGCATTCGTTGGGGGGTGATGTGACTACTTCTGCTGCCTTCTTGCCATAGACTATAGCGATGACGAGAATTCGCTCGCACCAGAACCCTAACGGTTTTAGTGAACTGTTTCCACCGTGTGCGGGAGAGAGAACACCTGATTGAGAGATCCCTTCCGTCAACTAATCTCGCGCCGACCATGCCTCCGAAAAAAGTGCTATGCCGGAACCAAGAATCGAGCGATTACTCGGAGGCCGAAGTTAGAGAAGTAGGTGCGACACGCACCCGTAAGGGAAGGACCGCCAGCACGAACAAAAAAAAGCAAAGTATGACGGCAGAGGATGAGGAGGAAGAGATTATGGAAGATGTTGACGCGACCGTAAGCGCACCTGCTGAACTCCCTCAGCCCGACGATCTGGTGGCGGCGTTGGAGAAGAATTATTACAAAGTCGAATATCGCAACATGGAGCTAACGGTTCATCGGGCCGTGGTCAGCACAGTCGACAAGAAGGACCTCGCCTCCATCGCGGACAACACATGGTTGACAGACGGAGTGGTCGGCTTTCACAACGTGTGAGTAATGCGTCCGACGCACTACCTGCGCGTCATGTATGTGGTGATAGACTTCGCATCAGCATGATCTGATGGCCCCTTGTTCCGGCAAAACACCCACGTGTCCGTCATGTGCTTTCAGGCTTCTAAGCATCTGTGTGCCGAAGCTGTCAAACGGGAAGACATGGGCGGTGCTCGATTGCAACACTTTTGCGAACACCACTGCTCACAACACGCCAGTCAATGCTGGAAACGGCGTGCCACTCCTTGAGCACGACTACCTTGCGGTCCCTGTCTACAGTGGGTAATTATCGAGCCACTTGACTTGTTCAATAAGAGCCGTAGGGTGCATGCATTCTTTATGCGCGTGACTAAACACCGTCCTTTCCTACCGCATGCCTCCCTGCAGAGAGCACTACTCAATGGTGATAGTCATATCACCCCACCGGCTAGTGGATAAGAGGACAAGGAAGGATAGCCCGCCGCTGGAAATGGTGTTGTTCGACAGCTCCAGGGCCCCCATGAGTACACAGAAGGTTTTCAGTGGCGTGAAGGTGTAAGTGTTTGCTTTAGTAGTGGTACTTCAGTTGTTATTTGCACATGCGTGGCTGTAACCGGGTTGTGTTCTCCGAGATGTTCCGCAGGGTCTTGTCAACCATGGCAAGGAAGACTCATCCACATGTAGACATGGCGAACTTTGAATAGCTGCTGAAGGACGTTCCCTGCCATGTCCTCACCGTAAGTGTGACTTTCCTTGTTTTTTTTGTGGACAGATGTTGTTACACAAATGTGAGAAGTGACCACCAGGTGTGCGGTTTCTTTGCGCGCAGGAGAACCACATCCCCAAGCAAGAGAACGGTCATGACTGTGGAGTCTTTGTTTGCCACTAGAAAACTTTGGTCTACTCCGACTTCGCCAACGTGAAGAGTGGCCTGTGGTTTAAGGGGGTCAGCGCGCTGCAGTACCGCCGCATCATGCGCGCTTATTTATGCGCACACGCTATGGGAGAGTTGCTCCGGAAGCTAGATGAGGATGGCTTGGATGTTCCTCCTCAGCAAAGCGGCTTGACCACCAACACGACTTTGAGGGAGGGTGCGACGGAAGGACGTGAGAAAGAAGAACATCATATAGACCAGCTCGAGGCGGAGGTGTGCTCGTTAAAGCGCGAGGTCGGTGCGATGACTGCAGGATTCGCCGCAATTGGTAGTGTGCTTGGGATGTCAAGGGAGCAGTTGATCTCAGGAGGCGAAAACATGCTGCAGCAAACTGGCGTCGCTGTGCAGGGATCGAGGGGTACGGATGGGCGCAAGCACGAACCGCACACTCCAATGCGGCCATCAGGCTACACGAAGCAGGTGAACGAGAGCCCAGACGAGGATATGATGGGCTCGAACACGAGAGTGTCGCTCGACAGCAAATTCGCGTCGGCCGTTGGTGCGTACCCCTGTTTCCCGGCACCTCTGCCAATCCCCGGGACGGTTCCACACTGGCTGCTGTCACGGCAGCAGGCAGCTGCGGTTTCACTAGTCCAGCCATCCTATCCGGTGTACGGGATGGCGCAGAGCGGTGCGGGCGCACACCGCGGCTTCATAGCTGTACCTAAGCAGGAGACATTGGCGGGAGGAGAGGATTCGGAGGAAGATGGAGAGGGCGAGAACGAGCCAGGAACAAAGCCGACCAAGTACACAGGGGTCTATGTGGAGGCCGATACAGGCAAGTATGGGGTGAAGATCGTCGCAAAAGACAAGGAGGGGAAGAAGATAACGAAGAGAGTCGGCGCGTACACCACGATAGAGGAGGCATCGTATTGCTACGCAGCAGCTGCCCACGTGCTGAGGCCTGGTAAAGGCACCCGGAACTCTGTGGCTTTAACACCGGCTGATAAGGCAGCTCTGAGGGGGTGCACTCCCGAAATCCTGAAAGTCATGGTGGATGCCCGCATGTGGTGGCGCTGGAGGGTATGGAGGGATACTTACGAAGGTATGATGCGGAAGGCAGCGCGCACAAAGAAGAATGCAACGCGTGCAAAGAGGGGGAGACCGCGCAAGGGGAGTGGTGATCAGAGTGGGGGCACGACACGGGAGGGTGAAGGCAAGAAGGCTGGCAGTGAGGACACCGTAATCATTGCCCACGAAGCAAAAAACAGCAGGGCACGTAAGATGGCCCGCGGTGAAGAGGCAAAGTCCTTCGAGGACAAGACAGATGAAACTGGTCGTGGGAGGCAGAAGGATGGTGCTTGGGATATCAGTGGGAAATGAGAGTGGATCATGGGGTAGAGAAGGCTTCCCTGGAGGATGCATGTACGCATATGTGGTTTGTACTTTAAATGTAGTGTGTCATTAATAGTTTGATACTGCGGTGTTTCCTCTGTTGAATGTTTAATTGGTATGAAATAGCTAGCAAGAGAAGGAACTATTGTAGCAGGACTCGGAAATGGTATCGAGAGTACGGGTGGTAGGATGAAAGTTGACGGTGATCAGTGGATGAATCGTATTCGCTAACCAAGATTACAGAAATCGAGGAGGTCGTTTTCCAGTGGATGTCGGTGATTGCGTTTATCCTGATGGGCGGCAACGGTTTTGCTCGATGGTTGTGGACGTTGTTGAGCAAGGTTTACGCGTTACCGTATACTTTGCAAGGTCAATCCGAGTACTTAGGCTTGCGTGCCGTGCACGCAAACAATGTCAGTCGTTAACAATGGAGACTTCCGTTGCTTCTGAAGATACTGGCAACGCGGGGCGTGCACGGCGAGTGTCCCAGCCCCCGGCGTACCTGCGCGCGGCATATCAGCTTGCAACTCCTCGTGGGCGCATGCCAAGGGGGACTCGCGGAACGGCCTTGCCAAAGCTTTTGGCCATTACTAGAGCGAATGCTGGCAGGAAAGCAATTCGTGACGGTAATGACGGTTTGATGTGCTGGTTGTACGAAATATATGACGTTGCTTTAGCGTTTTGTGGTCGTTTTGATTAAGAAAGTGTTGTCTTTCCCCCTACTTCCGCCTTGGAGCTTGTGTTGCCCGGATTTAACTGTCTCCTCCGCCTACATTCCCACGTCTACAAATAATACTGGGGGTGAGACATCGGACGCTTCTCCCGGCAGGGTCGGCAAACAAGCGCTGGTGAGTGACTCGCCCGATTCGCGTTCCAATAGCAACGGTGCTCCTCGTCAGGCGAACCAGAATCGAGGGGAGGACGTAGAAGGGGGCAAACAGGCACACATCGTGAGCAATATAAACGCATCCGAAGAGGAGGATGACAAGGATGTGGGTGACGCAATGCGCACGATGTTCGAAACCAACGCGTACCGCGAGAATGATGCTGTGGACACGCATGGCGAGGAGGTGCGCGTTTCCGCGGGAGTATTCAGGAGCCTGCTTAAGTCGCAGGACGAGAGCGCGCAGAAGGTGGCCCGCTTGGAAACTCTGCTTTTGGAGGCGCTGGCAAAGTCCGATGGGGGGTCCCGTCGGCGCAAGGCGGAGCGGCAGAGGGATCCCGGGCAGGGATGCATGAACCCAAAGCGCCAGCGTCGCGGCGAGGCAGTGGCAGACGTTGAGGAGGATGACGATGAGGAGGAGGACGACGACTACGAAGACATGGCACAGATTTGCACGCGTCGGAAGCACATGCGCTCTGCAAAGTCGCCTGTTCTGCAGCGCGCGCACTTGATCTGCTGCCGGCCGACAAGGCTTGGAAGGTGGGATGTGCTACCAAACGTGTAACATTACTATCAGAGCGTGCGCTTTCTGCCGTGCGATGGACTTTTGTGGAGCATTGTACTCATTCACAATTTCCCATGGTACCTGACTTGTGTGCAGCTCCTATGCGAGCTGGTCCGAGTGCAGCTGTTCTTGAAGAAGCCGGCCGCAACCATGACTTTCTAACCGAGCTCTGACGACAAGACTTATGGCGTTTGCGCAGTGATTGACCGCCTGCCGCATAGCTTCGCGTGCCTTGCGCTTGCCGCGGACAAGTCCCGCCGTGCTGACCTTAACAAGACGCTGAGCGAGTGGAAGACAAGGGCTGCCGGACGGGTCCGGGACATTGCGCTCCCTAAGCTTGGATTCTTCCATGATCAGCGCGACGAGGCAAGCCCGTGGGCAAGGGACAACGCACGCACGCTGGAGCAGATTCGGGAGCGCATTGGGCTCGGTGCGGAGGAGAGCGGTAAGCGGTGTTCTGGTGCTTTTAGACAGTGGTGAGGGGTGCTTTTGTGGTTTTAGTCTTTAAGCCCCACCATTCTATCCGCGGTGTGTACGACAGATCTGGTGCTAAGCAACTGGTCAAACGACCGCGACGGGATGCCCTTTGCGTGTGCCGCGTTTGCGGCGTGCGCAAAGGCTGCCTTCATTCCAAAGAAGGCTGCACTGCCGCTCACTTTGAAGGTGTACCACCTTGCGTGGCTGGAGCACGTGGTGAGTGACATTGTATGACTTTGGTGGTTAGTTTGAATATGGCTGTAGTCTTACAAGGCGTGCGCGGTGTGTATTTCCTTTTAGGTGTTCGACAGCATCATGTATTGGGAGCAGAGGATGGGCCGCCTCTCTAACTCGGCCGGGGGGGAACGGCCACGTCGTGAACGGGCTCAAGGTGCTTGTGAAGGGCTCCGTTTCACAGGCCATCCGTCACTTCAATCCCGAGTACGACAACGAGAAGGAGGAATGGATATGGGGACGCCATGGCCTCCGCCTTTCTGCCTGTGGTCTTGAGAATATGAAGCCTAATGCTGGCGCTAGCGGCGGAGACGTCGCCGGGAATGATGTGCAGTCGGTGTCAAACGGGGGTGTGTAGAGCAGCAGGGAGGGGGAGGCCGGGATAATGGAGGGCATAGACCTGCCCTGGAGTGGGATGATCGGGGTTGTGTGTGCGCTTTTGATATTTATGTTCCGTGTTTGGGTTTCTAGGTTGCTAGAATTCCGCCTAAGTATACGGTGTTTGAAGGCAGGTAGACGGTTGTGTTAAATGTATTGTGATGCTTGTTTTGTGTGGGTTTAGTGGACATGGTTTGGTGCTTTTTGTACTACACTACTACGCGGGGATGAGAGTGTGGAAATCACCAAATGAACATAAAAACCCGAAGCGCGCGTGAAATGCGCCGCATTTGTCGCCGCGGTAGTCGGAGAGTACCTGATCGGGCAATGATTGCCGGATCCAGCCATCCAGTGAGCAACACGCGGGTTGCCATGATTGGCGCAAAAGGTTGACGAGGCACCATATGCGGTAGATGATGAGTGCAGGTGTTGGCACGCAGTTGGCGTGTTGGAAAAAGGTGGCGTTTGTGACAGGTGTATAGGTGACGCGTGTTGTTGTAATGTTGGTTCGTCTCTATCCACCGTGGACGCCTCTCCTGATGCCGAGATTTGTGCGAAGCATGAAGTGTGGTGCAGGCGACGATGTTACAAGCGGTGCGATAGGGCGACAGGGCGACACGTACACGACGGTGGTTTTTGGGTGATGGGCATCCTCCCTGAGCGGTCGGAACGAGGTGGTGCGATGCGTAGGAGCCGTGTGGCTTGTAGGCGCACGCATAAGCGATTGCAGGGGCGATTTCCCTAAAGTGTCTGCGATACTTGGCGGCCTTTGAGTTGTTGCTCGAGTGTTGGGCGAGGAGGATGCACGTATACAAGTGGATGGGCGACGCACGCGAGGTCACTGCGAGATGGTGTTACGATGACGGGTGATGAAGACATGTGGGACATGCGGGTTATCAACAGGCGCGTGGGTATTCTGTGTCGAGTCACGGAGTGGGTTGCACGTGGCGGGTTCGCAGTGGTGCGCGGTATTCAACGCTCGAGAAATGGACGGCCTGGATGTAGACTGTAGTCCCAAATCAATGCAACTGTGCAGGCTGGCGAAAGTGTAACTTGTAGGGCGACTTGTGGAGCACATTACACATCAACGGTGCCGATTTGGTGTTGTGGTGTGAAATCACGCGGCTGTGGTAGGTTCAGCAAGTCTTGGCGGTATACGCGTACGTGGCAGGTACGGGTGTAATTGACGTACACGTGGGCACGTGTACGTCCCCGCATGTTTTGGTTGCTGGGAGGTTTGTGTGATGGGTGGTGGTGGAGCAATGTTATCGTGATTGTGTGAGTTACGTGGGGGGTTACTGTATGCCATTTGTAAAGTTGCCCGGACACTTGCGTGCTGGATGCGGGAATCTGCACACCGTGTTGACAGAAAGTGACGGAAAGGTTACAGTTGCTTTTACTGACGCTACCACTGTTGTTGAGTCAAACTTTTTTTTTGCGTGGCGAATGCAACTGCCAAGTTACGAACGAGCCATTTTAAAGTTTTTTTTTGCACTTGCCTTTTCCGCGATGTAGGCGAAATCGCCTACGTTTTCAGCTATTCTAAGCTTGGCTAAACTAGATATTTGAGTGGAAAGAAGTAGTCCAGCTTGAAGTTGGAGTTGGGCCCAACGATCGCACCGATCGCAGCGCAGCCGTCGTGCGGGTGCATCATGTTGAAGGCGACTCCTTGTGTAAGGCTCAAAATTTTCCTTTTTGGCAGGTACCAATCGGGTGGTTTCGATCTGCACAGACGAAATGTTTGAAACACTACTTTGCGTACCCACTTCCGCAAGACTCTTTCAAGCTGAGACGGGGTTCACTATTCTATATTTCGGTTTTAGGCAATTTGGGTGTGTATCGCCGTGAGTGGACGAAGGGCTCATATAGTAGCAACATGAAAATGAAAAATTTCTAAGCGTTCATCGCTTTCAAATTTGTGTATTGTGAAAGCGAAGCTCACTGTAACGCAATTTTGAGCATCGTCGAAGCACGCTATTTGCCTTCTCCGAATATATAATGTGGGTTGGGGTCATTCTTCCCCCACCCACGTCTCTCATTTTTACAATCGCTCAAGTTCAATTCCCAGTTCCGAGACCCATCCCGATTTTTTCGGAGGCTCCGACTCCCTCCCGATTTTTTCGAACCTCAACCTGGCGAGGGTGAAAACCCTTCCACGCTTTCAAGCACCCTCTACCCTGCTGTCGGTGTGAGAATTGAAACGAGAATGAATGAACTATGAAACAGTTGGGTACAAGTACTAACCCTAATTGGCTTGTACCCCATATGGGCTTCCCCACTACAGCCTACACAAAAGCATAAGCTACAATGTTCTAACACACCCCCATAGGCAAAGTGGGGGAGAACAAGCGGTCACAAGACCAGTCAAGCAAAGCAAAGCAAAGCAAGCTCAGGGTGGATCACAAAGTCACCACACATTCCGAGCACAAGTTCAAGGCCACAAGGCCAGTTCACATGAAGGAGTATATATATATAGAAAGCTAGACAAGCAAAAGCAGGTGTATATATATGTAACAGTACAAGCAAGGTCAAGAGGTGAGCAAGTGAGGCAAGACAGGCACAAGACCAAGCTGAGTACAGAAGCGCTGATGATCACAAGGCGCAAGTGCCTTGGTGAAGATATCAGCAGTGTTGGCCTCAGAGGCCACATACGCAAGACGCAGCTGACCACGCTGCTGCAGCTCACGAGCAAGGAAGTAGCGAAGAGCAATGTGCTTCGTTCTGTGCTCCAGTCTCTGCTCTCGACACAAGGCAAGCATGGCCTTGTTGTCTACGTACAGCACTGGAGGAGAACGAGGCACCTCTCCAAAGTCAGTCAGCAGGTAGGTGAGCCAGCGAAGCTTCTGTGGAGCCATGGCCCCGGCGTAGATCTCAGACTCACAACTGGAGCCGAGAACAGAAGACGAGCAGGTAGCCCGCCACGAAACAGAGCCGGAACCAAGGCTGAAGGTGTAACCCTGTAACGACCGCTGCGTAGCCTGGTCGTCCGCCCAAGAAGCGTCTGCGTGCCTAGTGAGGACCACTGGACTCCGCCCTCCAAGCACAAGCCCCATGCCCGACGTACTGCACAAGTAGCGCAACACCCTCTTCGCTGCAACCATGTGCTCCAGTCTGTGTCTCCCAGGAGCAACATAGCGTGCGAGAATGCTAAGAGGGTATGCAAGGTCAGGTCGAGTGCAGGTCATCAGGTACATGAGGCAGCCAATAAGCTCTGGGTACGGGCCACTCAACTCTACGGACTCATCCGAAGGCAGAGCTGAGAGCAAGTGACGGGTAGGCAGAAGAGTGGCTTGAGGCGAGGAGTACGTGAAGCCGAAGCGCTGAAGGACCTGCTGCACCATGTGTGACTGAGTCAGGGTAATGGTGCGCAGTGCTCTGTCCCGGGTGATCTGCAAGCCAAGGTAGCTGCGCAGTTCACCCAGGTCTGTGCACGTGTGTCTCTTCTACAGCTCGGACTTCACGTGGACGAGTCCAGCAGTGTCAGCTATGGCAAAGACCAAGTCGTCGACGTACACGAGGATGTAGAACGGCGGCAAAGAAGTGTCGGTGCCCAGAAACAGCGACGGGTCAGCAGTAGAGGGAGCAAACCTAAGAGCCGCAAGCGTAGTCCTCAGTGTGTCGTGCCACTCACGCGGTGCCTGGCGGAGGTCGTAGACTGGTCGCCAGAGGCTCCACTGGGTGCCAGGAGAAAAATTCCTAGTGAAGCCAAGTGGGCGGCGTAGCCAGATCTCCTCGTGCAGGCTACCCTGCAAGAAAGCAGTGCTGAAGTCAAGAGAGTGAAGCTCTTAGTCGCGCTGAGCGGCGTTGTGCAGCAGTACCCGAAGAGTGGTCATCTTCGGGGTGGGAGAGAAGGTCTGAAAGTAGTCAACTCCCTGCCGCTGACTGAAGCCATGAGCCACGTACCGCGCCTTGAAGACAGGCGGGGAACCCGGCGGCCGCTTCACCCTGAAAATCCACATGCCAGTGACGATGTTCGCCCCACGACAGCGAGCAGCAAAGTCGACGAGCTCAGCATCTAGGGCAGACGCAGCAGTGGACTCAAAAGAAGGGTCAGTGACGACAGTAGCAAGGAGACGTGTGACAGTAGGACTGGTAGCACGAAGAGAGTCCGACTTCGGGTCGGCAAGAGCAGGAAGAGAAGACTCAGGAGGAGAAGGCAAAGAGGCACGCAAAGGAGCAATGGACGGACGCAGAGACATCCGGTGCGTGCCAGGGACAGGAGGAGGACGCTGACGCGAAGCGCGACCACTAGTGCGAGCAGCACGGACAGGCGACGCAGGGCGAGACGCAGGCTCACGACGCTCAGCAAGACCTCCAGTAGGACCAGTGTAGGGAGACGGAGCAGGCAGTGAGGAGGCCTGCTGTAACTGTAACTGCGACGGGACAGGATGTGGACACTCTAAGGGAGGAGGAGGACCAGTAGAAGACGCGAGACCAAGAACCTGCTGAAGGAGCGGAACGAAGTACGGCCGAGGCAGCGCGGCAACTCTAGACACAGCAGGGACAGCACCTGCACCCCTAGTGGCAGCACCAGCACCAGTAGCAGGTCCAGCTCCAGTGCCTTCAGCAGCACCAGTAGTACCCCGAGCAGGACCGCCTCCAGGACCGACAGCAGTAGCCTCCGCGCCAACACCCGCAGCAACTCCAGCTACAGAAGTACCCGCAGGCCCAGCAGCTCCAGTACTCCCAGTACGAGCACCTTCGGGACCCGTGGCACCAGCTCCCTCAGCAGCAACAGAACCTCCAGTACCCGCAGCACCTCCAGCTCCAGCAGCTCGCCTCCAGCGCCGAGCAAACCACTCACGCAGCTCCTTTGGAGAGAGTGGCTCCCGGCGAGACGAAGCACCCGGAGAACCGCCAGGCACAGCACCAGCAGGCCCAGCTCCCTCAGGCTCCGCATCCCCAGGCTCAGCACCTCCAGGCTTAGCACCCCCAGGCTCAGCACCCCCAGGCTCGGCACCCCCAGGCGTAGCAACCCCA